CCCTAAACCCTAAACCCTTAAGGGCGCCAGGCTTCCGGTTTTTGGGGGATCTCTGGTGGACGGAAGAAGCGGACTGTCGGGACGCGGGCTTCTTGAAGGATACTGATCAGAATAGGGTTTGGGATATACTATACCATAATTGGAATAAGGAACCCCCAAAACCCTATTCTAATTATTGAGGCCCCTACATTAGGGAAGGCTGGTTGGGGGAATGGTCCTTGAGTTCTGGTCTGCTAAACTTAAACGTGGCTAAACACCAACTCCTCATGACAAAGACACTTAAACCCCCAACCCTAAACCCCAATACTTCATGCTTAAACCCTAAACCACAAACAAAAAGCTGCCTTGTTGAACACATGATAAGGGGCCGCTAGGTTTGTCAGGGCTAAGGTAAACTCTTCCGAAGCCTTGCAGCGGCCGAAGGCTCCTTCAGCCCAGGGACACCGTGGGTGAGATGCTGAACGCAGGAGACGGTGTGGCTCTGCCTCAATCCGAGTTTTAGAGTTTAGGGTTCAAGGGGCTTAGGGTTTAGGGTTGACAGGAATGTTCTGATCTCAAGTAGCATAAACGGGCTTACACTCTGAATCGTGGTTTTCCGTTTAAACTAGGTACCCTTGAGCAGGAGCCCAGTTTTTGTGTTTTGATGGTTGTCCAGGGGTTCAGCGATGTTCAGCGCTGGCTTTCAGGTGTTGAGGTCTACATCGTCACATCGTCCCATTTCGGATTGTTTCGAGTCTAGCAGAAGGTGTTCATAAGGCGAATCTCCCGTTAAGCCCTAACCTTAAACCTTAAGCCCTTAACCTGAAGCCCAAAACCCCAACCCCTAAAAACACTAAACCTTAAACCCTAAACCCTAAACCTGAAACCCAAAGCCCTAATCCCTAAAAGCCAGGATTGGGATGCTTCCGGGTTTCTGGGTTTAGAGTTACGGTGTCGAGTTCTCCGGTTTCCCACATGGAAACATCGAAAAAACGCTAGCTACAGCGACTAAACCCTAAACCCTATAAGTCCCATAATCCTCCTTTGAATAGGTCTGCAGCCACTAGGCCCCGAAACCAATCAATCCTGAACCCTACCTGGACCCTAGCTTCTTCAGGGTCCAAACAGGACCAGGGTTGAAGGGTGTCGGTTCTTGGGATCAGATGGACGGACTCGCAGGGCTTAGGATGGTCTTCTGCTGAGTTTGGTTTGGTGGGTTTGGATGTTGATGCAGACGTCGCCGAGGTGTCGAAGATGCCCTTCGACATCCTCCTCTCCTTGCTGCCCGGCAGCAGCTTGATTAGGGTTTTAGGGTTTAGGCTTTTGAGGGTTTAGGGTTCAGGGTTTAGGGTTTAGGGGGTTTCCGAAGGGCAGCCGACCCACACTTGTGGAACCTTCTTCCAGCATGCTTGCGCCGGCCTCTCAAGAGATTGAACCCGAGTTGCACGCATGCTGCAACCCAACCCCCAAACCGACCTTCAAGCTGAAGCCCTAAGGCCCTAAACGTTGAATCCCCAAGACCTAGAAGCCCTTAGCATGAAGTCCGAAACGGCAATCCCTAAGCCGTAGTAAAGCCTGAATCCTACATCCTGCGATTGTAGGTTGCAGCCAATTTCTGCCATGACAGTCTTTTGCAATGAACCCGTATATGGTCTAGGAGCACCCACCACAGGTCACCGGTCCACCACTGTACTCCTAAGCCTCTTCCGACTGTGGTTAAGTTCTTAGTAACGTGATTATCGTATGGATCATATCGCAGAACTCGCACGCGCGCGGGAGATGCACGGAGCGTTGGCAATGCTCTCGCTCATCCCGATGGCGTCGGCTGATGGAGAAGTGACCACCTCGCTGCCTACCTCGACCCCCACAGAGTGGTGCGACTGCTCCTGCTATTGGAATGGCTATTATTGTGGGCCGAGTGAGGCCGCCGACAAACGCTGCGAGGCGAGCAACCGTGACATGTCGCAGCCTTACTGCTACGATGATGGCAACGGAGAGGATGACCTGTACTCCGGCGCCGTCGATGACGAAGCTGGATCTTGTTGCAACGAACGGGACTCGTGGCCCACGACCGAGGCTGCTGTAAGCTTGTCTAAGACATGCGAGCCTATTCTGCGATGGTGCCTGACAGCGACTGCCTTTGCCAATCTGTTGTGAGGCCGGTGCGGTGTCATGCCACAATGGCCCCGCTGTGAGGAGACATGCCCTGCTCAGATCATGAAAATGCTTCTGTGCTGTGTCCGCAGCTGTTTTCCGACGATTCTACATCCGATGTTACAACCCCTAGATCGCCCTAAATCCGATCCATGTGCCTTCAAAACACATGGCATGGGAACCCCAACCCGGTGGGAGGCATGATCATCATCATTGCGTCGAGCACTGCAGTTCTTGCATCTGCTGCTATATGCATGTGCTGTGGGAGTTAGCATGTACGGCTTTCGGTCACCATTCTACTCCTATGACCAGATGTGCCTCTAACTCGGGCGACTGCATTGAAGTGTGTGCCTCCAAAGTAACTACCGCGACGGCGATGGCGAGTTGTAGGCATGGGAAGACTGCCCGAACAGACACCGACCACTGCTGCTTCCTGAGGTAAAGGGTTTAGGTTCTGTGGAATTACAGGACCCGGTCCTTTCGGTTTTGCATAAACAGGAGGCTTCAGCGACACAGACGGCTCCTTCATGTGAACACCAAGCCAAGCCGACCTGCCTCCCTAAACCCAAAACCGACAGCCGGGGAGTGTTTCAGGATTTGGGGTGCGCGGGGCTTTCGGGCTTGGGGTCTGAACCGACGGCCCAGGTGCACCAGCTTTTGGTATGCTTGTAGCATAACAACCCCAAACCCAAGTCACATCACTCAGGTTCCAAGCATCCCTCCTTTTAGGTCTTCGATTGAAGCTTGAAGCCTGGAGAACCCTAAACTTAAATTGAAGTGACACCCCCCACCTAAAATCTCCGATCTTGAAGCCTGCTCATTCAACCTTACTTTTCTTCCAGTGTAGAGGTTTGTGAGACTTCTACTTGCAGGCTGATAAGGGCTGTATAGATTTTGTGGTTGGGCTTTAATGTAGCTTAGACTGCTGATCAGCCAACCTCCTCCTCATTGCGACGGATTGTTACTGGGCCCTTGAAAGCGCGAGGTTTATTGTTCAGGGGCTGAAACGCTAAGCCCTAAACCCAAGCCCCTAACCGCAAACCCCAAACCCCTAAACCCTAAACCCTCATCTGTCAGCCGGAAGCTTTTTCCTCGTGGAAGCGCAAGCACAAGCTGGAACCCATGAGCCGGTAAATCCAGCAGTCCCGGCGAACCCTTGCGGCAAGGCTCTTCGGTAGTCCCTTATACTTAGAGCTCCCTTCACCTCAGAACCCTAAACCCCAAGCCCTATACCCTTTGTATCATTGGAGCTTCCTTTACCTCAGAGCTGAGTAACAGGAAGCAGGGTACCATTACTTTTCGGGGAGTACCGGGGGAACCTAACTCTACGAAGGCTTCCTCTCTTCTGGCTGGCAGCCGTCGTCCAGGCAGGGAACTAGCTTTCAGGGGCTTGGGGCAAAAGGCAGTTTAGGGTTTGGGACTGCCGTGGTCTCAGGTCCGGGACTTTGGCTTGCGTGGTTTGTTTGCTCAAGAAGCTTAGCCATCATTGAGTTCGGAACGACATGGGAGAGTGTCAGCAGGTCTCGTGCTCCGCATCTAGATCTAGGGGCCTCCGGAGTTGAATTGATCCTAAACCTCCTAGAGCCTAAAGCCTAAACCCTCCAGGCTCTCAAGCTTCAGGCTACAGCTTAGGGCTTCAGTGCGCAATGACTGCAATCCAGCCGAACCCAGAAGCCAGAGAATCAAACCCGGAGCCCTATAAGCCCGAAGCCCTAACCGTAGAACCCCAAACCCCAGCAGCTGTAAGTTTCACATGGGTAGTTCTCTAAATTAGGGTCCCTTTTGGGGTCCTTTTTGCAAGGGTGCCGTACTATATCGGGGACCTAAAAAGGGACCCTAATTTAGAGAACTACCCACATTCTGAAATCCGAGCCCAAAACGCAGCTCTCACGCCCGAAAGCCTTCTTTGCTCCCTAAACCCTAAACCCTAAACCCCAAACCCTAAACCCTAAACCCTAAACCCTAAACCCTAAACTCTAAATCCTAAACCCTAAACCGCGTTGGCGAGGCCCGGAATCTTCGGCTTTGGTGCCTTTGCTGCGAAGAGGGGGTGGGTCCCCGGCGCGTTAGGGCCCCAAAACTCTGAAGATCCAGGTTTCGAATGCCTTAAAGCCCTGAGCTCCAAGGATGCGTATATACATATACACATATATCTACACACTTATATATGTACTAATGTATATAGAGTCCCTGCGTTATGCTCCCCTAAGGACACGGACCTTGCTTGCGGCCGCTTTCTTGGCGCTCCTGCGAGGCGTTTTCTCGCGCGGCGGTTGCTTGGAGGTTTCTGTTCGTTTCGCAGAGCTCCAAAGCTCCAAAGCTCCAACTCTTCAACTTCAACATTCCTGTGAATCACTCAGGGCCCCCAGCTGGGACTTTCTCTCTTTAAACACAATGTTTAGGATTTGGGCTTGCTCTTATGGTTCGGAGTCAGGGTTTGGGGTTCTGGGCTTCGGGTTTGCGTTGAAGGCCATGTCGAAAAACGCTGGAAACCGAGTACCAAGCCTTCTGAAGGCATCAGTCATCCTTACGCCCTAAACCCCTACAGACCCAAGCCCCAGAAAACATTACCTAACCCAAAGGGTCCATGTGCCCAAATATTGGACACTTTGGCCCCGGAGTACCTATATAGGCGCTACTTTAAGGCCAAAGTATCTACTATTTGGGTACATGGACCATTAGGGTAAGCTGTGCAACCACAGTAAAGTCCTAGAGCCCTAAACCATGAACCTGCGACCACCAGACCTTAAGCAAACAAACCTTTAAACGACGCAGCAACAAGGCACCACGGAACTCCTCCCGGACCTAAACAGCCCTTACCAACCTAAAGCTGTATCACAATGTCAGGAAAGCTTCCTAAGCCTTAAGCCCGAAAGCTTTACAGCCCTCACACCCAAAACCCCCAAACTCCAACAGCCCTATAGCCCTACACGTTCGACCCTAAGCCCACAAAGCCTAAACGCCATAAACACCTTAGCTTTTAATCTTACCAGAATCTTAACAGCCCTACAACCCCAAGCGTTAAAGACTTCCGATAGCGCAGGTCTACTGTCCAGCCTGACGCTGCTGCCCGACCCACTGGGATGGCAGGGCTGCGAGGCGGCCCTCTTTGAGGTTGACGAGGGTTTCGGATGTAAGGCTCGGTGTTCGGGGGTCTGAATGTAGGCTTTGGGGTTTCGGCGGTTTCGGGTTTCAGGGTTTTAGGACTTGGAATGCCGACCAGAAGGCCTAAACCCTCCAACCCTAAACCTAGACCCTTTTTGAACTCCCAAAAAGCAGTTCAATAACACAAAAACCTAGACCCTAAACCCTAAACACTAAGCCCTAAAGGGCTCCCAAGCCCTCCCAACCACTACCCCGAACGGCGCAAGGCGAACCTGCGACCGGAGGTGATGGCTCACTACCAAGGCCAAGCCGTTTTCTGTTTTCCTCAAACCTAAATTTGAGGTTTCGGGTTTGGTTTTTTTGGGGGGTTTAGGTGTAGGGGTTCGCGGTTTAGGTTCAGGGGTCCGGCTGTAGTCCAGGGTTTTAGTACAGGGAGTTGAGGTTGCACCTGTCTGCTCTCCACTTCGTCAGGCCAGCAAGGCTTTGCCGACATCGCCAAGGACCGCAGTGGCCTGTGGGTTTATCGTGACGGCAAACAAAACTTGAATAGAAGCTTGATCTGTCAAGGGTCCAAACTTTCTTCTCCTCTGCACACTTCTTGTGCCATGTCTTGTTGTAAACCTCTGTACCGGGCGTCTTGCAGTGGGGTCTGCACGTAAAGACCTGCCACGCCCCTGTTTCTAGCTGAATAGGTAACCTTGAACCATCTCTAACCTTTTGGGGTTTATCTAATCCTACCAGAACTGAAACGATTAACATCTTGGGGCTAGGGCACGCCGCTCTGTTCCGGACCCAACGTTCGGGACAAAACGCACGCTAAAGGCAAGGAAGGCGAATGGAGTTGGGTAATCAGGCCAGGGTCTCTGTGTGTGTACATTCGTTTCTATAACTTACATATATGTAATTTTGCACATATATACATGCACACCTATAGAGTGCGCTGTTTTGGATGTAATATGTTAACATATGTTGTACATCTATCTATCCATCTGCCTGTCTGCCTGTCTGTCTGTCTGCCTGTCTGTCTGTCTGTCTGTCTGCCTGTCTGTCTGTCTGCCTGTCTATATACAAACAAATAAACATATATATATATATATATATATACACACATGCAGATGCTAAGAACTGATGACTTAGCCATACCTCCATCCTAAACCCTCCAGCCCAAATCTTCTGCCCTAAGCCAAACCCAAAGCCCCTCTCAACCCAACCTGCAACTTCGAACCCCAGCCGAAATCCCCAGACGAACCCAACTGCTAGGTCCCATGGGCTTCCAAGAAGATCCCTCCCTAAGCCCAGACCATACTATGGCGACCGGGAAACAAAGAAGAAGCCGCCTTGTCTGAACCGCTATCCCCAGAAAGTCCTTACAAAAGCCCATACACCACCCAAAGGCAAAGTGAACGAACCCGCACCTCCGGCCTCATCTTCCTAAGCCCTAAAACCCCCCAAACCCCCAAGCCCCGAAGCCTTCAAAACCCTGAAACCCTAAAGCCCGACACCCTAACCCCTAACTAGCCCCCTTAAGCCCTAAACCCATGAAATCCGTAAGCCCCGAAAAGAGGCACCAAAGAGCAAGCTCTGACTTTCGAAGCTCTGCCAGGGGATTGGCCTCGTCCTGTGGCTCTGGCTTCAAGACTTGGTCTTGGGAATGCGACTGCAGGCTTCCCGCTTCATGGCTCTCCTTTTCGCCGATGGATTAAGAGTGCTAATCTTCTTTCTTGATTTCTAGTACCAGATGTTTAGAGAGTTAGAATTTAGAGAACTCGTTTTCACAGATGTCATTTCCTTCTCGGAGGTGTTACCTTAGACTCTGGGAGCGTCGGAGCTTGGGCGTCCCCAGTCGGGGTCATTCTCTCGGATTTGGTATTGCATAGGTTCTAGGGGTTTAGGATGTA